AACATCATGGAAGACCAGCGAAAGAATAAGACACCTGTTGCTCGTACTCCTTTGCGTACAGTTTGGCTTTGTTGTAGATCAGCTTGCGTTGATCAGCCTTATTCTTCTTAGCAGACTCAAGGTCCTGCTTTTTCACCAATGCCCATTCCTCACTCCTCTTCTGTTTCTTCAGTACAGATTCCGGAACAATGGCCCCTCCCTTCTCCATCTTTACACTAAACATAGCAAAATTCATCACCTACTCAATATAAAAGCCAACACCTATACTGCTTACATAGAATTGCAATAACCCAAATGTCCACTTTTTGGAATTTACAGTGTTGCATATTTAACTCCTAGTTTATCTGTTTCTAATTTTCAACCCCTTTTTTGGTTTGTGATTTAAACCGAATTCAGCACGTGATTCATTCATCTCAGATTTCGGTATTGACACTCATTCCAAGCAAACGTATTGGCAAAAATGCATTTATATAAATATTTACAAATATTGACAACTATACACACGCAAACACCAGCATATGCTAATCAATTGACTTTTGACTCAGATTTTCTTATTATGTTTTTCTTTCATTATCCACCTCTGCTTGGTTGAGGCCGGTTAGTAATTTCCATGTTCATAATTAGCATATGATTTCAGTCGTCGATTCGAAATGCGCATTTAGACGAAAATAGCACAAAACTACACACTCCCATAGCATACCAATTGCAGATTGATTGAAATCAAATTGAGTTGAAAATGAAAATCTGAGAAGTAAACTTACATTACTTCGCCCTGGGCGATTGAAAGAACAGCTGCGTTTGACGGTGTGAGGCGTCGCTGTAAGCAAAACTCAGGATTTTGTAGGGTTTCGGGGACAAAACCTAATGGCATTGGCTCAATTTGACTTGGGTTGGGCTGGCTTCTTTGGGCCGTAACAGTGGGCAGGGTGATTTTTAAAGGGGAAAATTTCACAACTCGGGTATTAATTATGAGCCAATTCAATTTTTAGGTTTAAAATTTCAAAATTCAAAAATGTTAAATAAGTAATTATAAATATTTTATCAGTTATATATATGATATACAATTAATGATCACAAGAACATACTTATAAGTTACAACTTATTTATTGATCACATATTATCAAATTAATAAGTCACAGATTATTTCACGGTCATAAATCAAAAAATGTAAGGATCATAATATATTCGTAAGTTACAGATTTTCAAATTAGTTTGTTACGAATTATTTTCCAATCATAAGTTATATAATTTTAGGTCACAATTAAACGGTTGATCACAAATAACCAAATTGTTGATCACAAATTAACCTAATAGTTGGTCACATACACCAAACACCCTACTCCCACATTCGATCCTGATCCACTACCAATACTTGATCACAAATCAACCAATTAGTTGGTCACAAACAGCTAAATACTTGGTCACAAACTCTTTCATCCTAACCTGCCATTGTCGCCGCCATCGCAACATCACCACCAACAAAACCTACCTTAGCATCAAAACATGAAAAACCACAACCACTCCAAAAACTAACAAATCCAACAAAAACTATCACCGTGGCACCATCGTTACAAATCACGAACCACGAATCATGACACACCACCACTGTACATTCAACCACCGCAATACAGTATCGCACCCAACCACCGCACACTACCACAGTACCTAACCCAACCACCGCGCATACAACACATCGCCCAAAAACAACAGCACCCAACCCAACCCCACTACATAGCACCATGGCATCCAACCACCGTACACAACACCGCACTGCACAGAGCTCTCCGTTCCCACCATCGCACTGCACCATATTGCACACTACCACCACTGCATTTGCAAAACCAACACACCATCACCACCACTCAAAAATTAAAAGAAGAAGAAAAAAAAGAATGGATTTGCACTGTACAGAAAGACGATGAACTGTCGCGCATGAATGAAAGCCATCGCTACTGCGCTGTGATGAGTCGTCAGAGTGAGTGTTGTGAGGAGTAGCCGAAGTAGGTTCGTCGCGTGAAATGAAGCAGACGGGAGATTGATATTTTTCAAAATGAATTAAGGTTTGTGGGTGGGTAAAGTGAAGGTGGTAAATTAATTTAGTTTAATAATATTGTTATTAATATTAAAAATTAAATTATCATCAGATTTTTGAATAAAAAACTTTCAAGTTTGATTTTTGAAATGGTAACTTAAAAAATAAGATTCTATATAATTTTCACATTTTTAAATGGGAACAATACATAATTCCT